ACACACACACACACACACACACACACACACACACACACACACACACACGATACGTATGTGTCCTAGTCTCTCTCCTGGGTGAACCAGACCTTGGGGAAAGGAGGACTTTTCTGTCTCATTCTTCCCTTTCCCTGAAGCATTTGCCTTCACATCCTTCAAAGCCCAGCTCAAAATTCCAGCTCACAAGATCTTTCCTTGATTGTCCAAGCTGGAAAGCAGCTTCTCATCGCTCAGGGTATTTTTGGTGGAGGCGACTCGGGTGCGGCTCTCCTGGTGTTGAAGTTATGCGTGTTGACCGGCACCTTTTGTCTCTCCCACCAGACCACCAAAGCTCTAGACATGGGGCCGGATCTTAGTTTCTGCACACAGTCGGTGTGAGAATTAAAAGTGGAATTCACAAGATTTCTGCTTGTATGTACTTTGCGTGAAACTAATCTATTATTGTCCCTCCTGCCATAAAGGGGATAAAAGTGTGTATTTTCACACAGTATGAACATAACGTCAAAGGGTAGGCCTTTGGACTTGTTCAGAACCTAGCAGTAGTGTTCACATATGATGAACCAGCATGGACTCAATAGCAGTGGGATTGTTTTGGGTTTTATGAATGAACATTCTATGTAACCTTCCAAAAGGCAATAACCAAGATAAAGTACAGTGCTGACCACGCTAGGTTAAAAATTACCACACTATCAATACACGATGCAGATAAAACCAATTATCTCTGATAATTACCCAAGCTATGAATATTAAAAAATAGATTTGTTTTAACTCAACTTCAAATAATTGATTAGGATCATTTACATCTTAACATTCAAATTCTAAGTTTTCAGGTTTCTAATATATTTAGACCTATTCGAAAACCAGGAAGTTCACAGTTGGCAACTGAATTTTCGGAACGTGTACTGGGTCTTGTTTTACCTTGCACATAAACTGCATGTAGGACAGAAGTCCAAAGGTGGTAAGTTTATACAGGTCGGGCTTGAAGACTCTGTGTGACAACATAAACTGAAGATTAATTCTTAAAGCTCTACACTCAGAGTGGAGCTTACTTTAAACTACAATAAACATTGATGGTATTTCAAACCAAAACAACATAACCACAATAAAACCCCCAGATTTTTATCCACACATATTTACCAAAGGAATCATGTAGTAATTCACAGACACCCTTTTGCAGACCAAAAAGATTCCATCACTAATGATGAAACACTGTAAAGTTTGTCAAGGTTGATTAGACTGGAGTCACCACATCAACCAGCTCTGGGGAAGGGGTCTCTGGAAAGTCTATTCAGGCGCGTTTTTGTGCTTTGGCAGAGATTTCCTCTGAATGGCTCATTCAGGAAGCAAATGATCCATTATCCACGCAACCATTCTTCCTGTCAGCTCTGTGACTAATCCTCCCACCTCCTGAACTGTGCCCACTACATAACACGTTCCAGTCCAGTA